TTTTCTTCCTTATCCACCCTTCTATTCATTCTTCATATGGCAGTTTGAGTAATTAAAAAAAAATTCACCCAGAATATTGTTACTTCCTTGTTTAAAATGGGTCAAAAGCTTTCCATTGCACCAAGAAGGAAATTCAAACTTTTTGCCAAGATGCTCAGGACTCTGCATGTTGTCTGCTGCCTACCTCTCCATTCCTATCTAGTACTTCTTGCCCACCAAGGCTTTAGCCACACCTGGTCTTGTATTTTAAACCCACCAGTTATTTCCTCCACTGGGCCGCTCTCCCCACAGATATTTACATTACTGGCTCAATCTCAGTCTTCAGAACAAAAGTCACCTCCTTAGAGAGGCCTCCTCTAACAGATCCATTGAAAACCAGCCTCTCCTAGTTACTATCACATCTCCATGTTTATTTCTCTTATTTATCACAATCTGTATTTACTCATTTATGTATTTGCTTATTTATTGTCTATTCCCCCCTCTAGAAAATAAGGTCCAAAATATAAGGGTTTTGTTTTGTTTATTGCTATATCTCTATACTTGAAGTTAAGGTCATTCTAAGATGGTCCAGGGTTGGTCAGGGCATGTCCAGGAGGCAACCATTTGATGTGTCTCCCTCACATTCATGTCTCTTTCTGTCTCTCCCCCACAGCCTCCCTCCCTTCCATGCTCTCTGAAAATCAATGGGAAAAAAATACTTGGGTTAGGATTAACAACAACCACAAAAAGGATGGTCCAGTGTCTTGAAGGGAATATGGAATGTAGTAGACACTCAATAAATATTTGCAGAGTCAATAAATTTCCCCACATTGTCTAGCTCTAGTAATATAAAAGAGCATCAATAAATACTTTTTGATCAATTGACATAGAAGGGCCCATGCTAGGAATCAATGCCTTTGCAGACTTATGTTTTGAGTCATAGTTCTATAACATTTTGTTCTTCAGAGCCACTAGGATTACAGTGTTATAAACTTATGGTGTAAAATATATAGAATAGTAATATGTATATAATATATATAATAATAATACATATATAATATATATATGT